ATATATATATATACATATGCACATACTCGCACATCGCATACATCCAATCCACAGGAATCCAAGTGCTGACTGCGGCAGCAGCCGGAGCAGCCGCCACAGTAGCAAGTGCAGCAACTACCGGTGGAGTGTCCTTGAGACCGAAGGGTATCCGCTCAGTGATGAGGATCCAGTTGGATGTCTCCTGGGTCCCGACAAGCAATGTAGGGTTTAGGGCATACTCTAGGACGCAGGTTCAGGAGGATGTGGTATAGAGTTGTTGGATGTTCATTTTTTGGGTACATTATGGGGCGGGGACTGCTGCGACATTCTGACAAGGTGTATAGGGCTCAGGGTTGAGAGGGTTTGCGGGCTTCATGTTGCAGTTACCCAGTGATTCCGCAGGTCGTTGATGCAGATAGCCTAACGACAATTCTCGTAACCTAGTAGACATATACCTTTCTTATTCAGCTGGTCAAAAACCGAAGTGGGCGAGAATGCCTAGGTCTCAAAGACACCCTGTCAAGACACAGATATTCTGAAACAAGGGACCGCCTGGCTGCCCATTTTGATGTGCCGGTGCTTCGGGTGTGAAGTTTGGTTTAGCATGTTGTCTAGCAGCCCAAACGCCATCCTCATCGCTAAACTCATTCTTTCCCACTGTGCTCAAGTCTATAGCACTGAGGAGCACGCCAAACCCCTAAACCCTAAACCACTTTGGATCGAGCGGCATTGGAGACATCCGCGAAGTAGTACCTCTTCGAGGTTGCAGGTTTAGATGGTGAAGCCGCGAAGCCGTAAACTTAGGTGCTGAGTGCCCGAGCCCAATACCTCGAATTGAACCCATACACCCTAAACCCGTTGTCTTATGGTAAGAGTCTCTACACTCCACCTACTCAGCCCCTGAGTAAACAGCAAGATCCAAACAGCAAGCAAGTCAAAGCAACAACAACAAAACACAAAAAAAACAGTGCTTTAGGGCGTTGATTGGGTTTCACAGTTTAGGGTGTCAGAGTGTTAAAGCTGTTTCTGTCTTCCTTCCCGCCTGGCTGCCTTTGCTGACTGTGTCGCACTCAGGGCTCCGGGTTTAGGGCACAAGTGAGCCTCTCTCTCTCTCCATATAATATATAGATAGATAGATAGATAGATAGATAGATAGATAGATAGCTATATGTATATATATATATATACATGGATAGATAGAAAGATAGGTAGATAGATGTCGGGGCCTTGGCAATAAATAAAGAGGGTTTTGGGGTGCATGACTCTAAAGAATAGTATCAGTCAGGCTTCTGTATCAGGAGGCATACAGACGGGCCCGGACGTGCATCGATTCTCCGGCTTCTTTCTTAGAAGACTTCCGGTAGTCAAGTTGACCTAGTCGTGTTGCGATATAAACCCTAGACCCGAAACCCAGAACCCTGTTTCAGTTGTGGAGAACCTGGACACCAACTTCAGACCTCAGCTCAGACATCGAGACAAGGACCTTTAAGCTGTGCCAGGGGACACCCAAAGCAAAGCAAACCCAACGTACATGGACGAGATCCATCCCAAAACTCCAAAGACTATACTCTTGTCATGAACCCCCAGAATCCCTCATAATAAACAAACCCTTTGAACAAAACCTAAACCCCTAAACCTCTAAACCAGACGTTGATAGACCCTAAACCCTAAACCCTAAAACCCCTAAATAGACTGTCTCCAGCAGGTCCCACCCATACCCGGAACCCCCTTTTTGAATCCGAAGCCTTGAGGTTCAGAAACCCTTAAAACCTCAGCACCTACTCTAGGGGCCTAATTAGAGTAGGGAGGGTTTAGGGCTTCGGGTTTAGGGGTTTAGGGGTTTAGGGTTTAGGGTTTAGGGTTTCGGGTTTAGGGGTTTAGGGGTTTAGGGTTTAGGGCTTAGTACAACTTAAGGGATAATAGTGGTAACTATCAAGGCCCCTATATTACTCGACCCAAACACTCCACACAGGGCCCAGTGAACTGCACAACGAGGTGCCGCGGGATCTGGAAGGGAAGACGAGACCTTGCGAATTTCGCGGTAGTGCAAGGTTTCAATGTAAAGGTTTTGGGCTGCTATGGGGTTTATATAGGGTTTAGGGTATACTCTGTTCATCTGAATTCTACCAGGGATTTGAAGATTTCTATTGGCATCGATTTGTCGGCAACCTCCCTCGAGCCGAAACGAGAGACTCCAAAACATTCTCAGAAGCCCCGAGCGGTGCAAACAGAACCGGAGATCAAAGGTGCGAGGGTTTGTCAGCTGCAGGTTCAGGGGGTTTGGGTTTAAGGGGGGTTTGCGGGGTAGGAATTGGGCCTACACCCTAAACCCTATACACTAAGTGGCTTTTAGCTGGCTGCATTTCAGCACACGGCCTAATTGGGACTATAGAGTAGAAACCTTGCTCAAGACAGGCTGTCATGCGCAGCATGAGCAGTATTCGCCCAGTGCTTCATAGCAAGCGAAGGATGTGTCTGACTTCCGCTGGTCCTTCACAATTTACAATATACACGGCTTCACTTGAACTCCTTACTTGCATGGGCAGATCAGCCTCTGCACGCAAACACACAAGGCTCAGGAAACCTATCCAACGAAGCTTAAGCCCAGTCTTTAAACATCGGGACTTGGTGAATTTGGACTAGGTCTGCCACCCTTCCGAACACCACCCTTTTTACATCAGGCTTGCATCCGAACACCACCCTAAACCCTAAAACCCCTTTTTTGCAACTGGCTTGCAACGTCACGCCAGGACAGCTGACTCGTTCCAGGCTGCACTCGTGGCAGCAGGGACTGCCCCTAAACCCTAAACCCTAAAAACCCCAAACCCTCTACCCTAAACTCTGAACATCACGAAACCATGTGGTGCCGAGCAGCTCCAGCAACCGCTGTGCGTTGATCTCGCCGATTTCTGCGCCAGACCTCTCGGGCTGGTGGCTTTTGACGCTGTGGCTTCTATTCTGAACTTGGGAACCTAGCAGAAATCATATTTTTAGCTATGTCTTAGGCCCTTAGGGATTAAAATATGGTGTTGTGGCTTCTATTCTGAACTTGGGAACCTAGCAAAAATTATCATTTTAGCTCTTAGGGATTAAAAAATAACCAAGGATTAAGAATTGGCCTCGGGGCTTTGTAGGCGCGAGTCATGGAGGTTCATGAGTGTGATGGTGGTTTTGCTGTTGTTCGTTGTGCTGGTTTGCTGCAGGTGGCACCTTGATACAGTGATGCCGTTACGCACCCTGCATCTTACGGATGGTAATTATTTATCTACGTTACCGACACATCGCCCTCGACAAAGGAGCAAGATCATAAGGACAGTGCTCTGTCGAGGGCAGAATCTCACCCACTTCACTTCTCGACCACGTGTGCAAGCTTGGATCTGCTACCAGTCAGATATCCCGATGCTCGTGTGGCACAGCGTGTTCCCGAAATGCTGAACCCAGCACTCCTGTTCTTAAGCTGGGTACCCTTACCCTAGCCCCCAAAAAGGGCTAGTTACATCTTAACTTGAAATGCTTATCCAAACCCTCAACCCCTTAACCCTACATCAACGCCAAAGAACCTACCTTTTTAGGGACTTATATACAGAAACTATAGTAAGGAAACCTGAAAAGGTAGGTTATTCGGGGTCCAGGTACACCCTAAACCCGACTGCATTGCCGGCTGCGCCGCTGCATGACGGAAGAAGCCATGCGATCCGACAGCGTGTTCCCAGCCAGGGGAAACCTCAGCAAACCTAATATAAGGGCCTTAATATTTAGACTAGGATTTCGGGCTCCTTTATAGTATATTTATACTGAGGAACCCCCAAAATAGTATAGGTAATTATTTAGGCCCCCATATCAGCTTGGCCCGTCGAGGCCTCCTTGAAAAGACTCGCAAATAAGGTCCTCCTCAGCCCAGTGAGGGGGTTTTTTCCCTCTCGCATGAATGAGGTCTATACTCACGGCGAGGTTCAATATGGGGTTCAAGGAAAGTTGAAAGTCAAGTGGAAAGTCAGTGGTTAAGACTCTCGACTCAGCTCCCTCATTTCAGGAGCTCAGGACTGCTCTGTCTTGTTGAGACAGCTCATCATGCATCAGCAAAATGCCGCCAAATTCGGGTTGTAGGGTTTAGGGTTTGGGACAATATAAATCTTAGTAAATAAGGTAAAATAAGGCCCTCCTAGGCGAAACTATGAAAAAAATCCCAAAAAGGCATATGCCTAGCACAGTACTGTAACAGCTTCTCTTCAATGTATCCGGGCCGAGATGTGGTAGAGGCTCTAGTATAAGAGGGTCTTAGTGCAAGATGATAAGAAAACGGGTATAGCTGGCATAGCCCCCATGTGCAGTTGTGATTTACCCCTTGTTGTGGGGTCTGAGACCTTGGAGAGTCAGGGCATCGGAAAAAAGAAAGGGGCATGGTACATCTTAAGAGTCTGAGATACTCAAGGCCTTCTCAAATGCCCAAGTGACTGTGCACAAACTTCCAACGCGGCCTGATATTCTGGAGCGTTTTCTGGCACGTCAGAAAAATTCAAGCGCCCTCAAGTATTATAATACACCTAAATTGGCAGGATCCCTTTTAACAAAGACCCCGCGAAAAGAGTCCCGAAGTGCGGGAAATGCAAGTATTCGAAGTGTGCAGATGCTCAATCTTGTCCTCTTCTCTATCTACTCCTGTCCTACATACTGCTACGGAATGGAATTGGCACCAGCGTAATGGCTCTTGCCATCATTGTTCAGACAGTGCCCTGCACCACTCCCTTGAGCACGTGGTCCACGGAAGTCGCGCAAAGCTTTAGGGTACAGGCGGCAACTGCAACAGCGACACCACCACCACCACCACCACCACCACCACCACCACTACTTCTACTACTATGACAATAACTGTCAGAAGGACTTGTAGCTCCTGCTGCTGCTGCTGCCACCGCTGCTGCTGCT